ATATATTATGGCATAACATACCCTCTTTAATTAAGGTGCTCATAGACATAATATGGAGCTGAGCAGATCTGAGCAGAAAACAATAGTATGCAGGCCTTGATTGACTAAACATGCATGTTTGTGCATTTGGCAGAAATCCATCTGATTTTAGGGGAACAATAAGGACAAAGAAAAGTTGGTGTGCTTTTTCCTATAAGTTAGTTGGCAGGGAGGTCTCTAGTGATTATGGTTCAATTTTAAACCTGATTTATTATTTTATCTTTCTTTTTGACCTGCAATTTCCAAGCTTTATTAGTGCGGTTATACTGTAAATTTAGGATCTGTTCCCCCACAGTACTAATTATATGCAGCAACATATCTATAGGTATTTGTCTGTTTTATATTCAGACTTACAATATTTCAGTCAGCCATAGCAGATAACTTATGCATGTATATCTATATGTGCTTATTTGTTTCCATTAACTTATTTGTTTTTGTAAAATTACTGCAAAAATGTATTGAATTTATTTTTAACTAACTGAAGGCCTTTCCACAAGTGTCTGGTGTGACGAAACTGCCAGATATAATCCAGCAGCTTGCTACACCCATTTGTAATATTGCAAATTCTGTGGCAGCAATTTAAAATACTGCACACAGACTTCAAGCATTCCATAATGCAAATGGGTAGTTAAATGAAAGGCTGAAAACCCCGGCAACCATTCAGAGCAGATTTTCTTTTAAACACAATGGAAGGTAAATGACAGGATTTTGCATTAGCTATTTGCAATTCATCACTTTATTAAAGTATCCTACATATATTCTAGCTATACAGTCAAAAAATAGGAGTAAAATGCACATTAAAACACTGACACCAGGCTGACAATGAACTGGTTAAACTGCCCACTAAAATACAAGTTTAAGAAAAAAAACAGCTTCTTTCAATTTCTCTGGAGTGTTTGAACTCCAAAGCTAATCCATCAAAATTGTATTTGTAAATTCCACCTTTGATGTTCTATTAACACCACTGATAAATTATAGCTGGTATTATATACAGTAAGTATTGCTGTGTTCATAATAGCACCTATACAGACACTAGTGATTTGAAAATAGCCTGAAGATAGGTATTCCAAACATGCATGTGACTTAGACAGTAAAAGAAACTTGACACATTTTTTTCTTCTAGGTGGAAAACCAGATCAGTCTAAAGCCAAAAGTGCTGCATTTATCAGTAAAAAAAAAAAAGTTCTGCGCTGTTCATTTTGCTAACTTGGTGCAATTAATTTTATACAGATCATTTGCACCAATTCACCCAGTTATTGAGTGACCTTTTTTTTAAATTTTATTTCACCAATTTATCAGTCTTTTCTCCACCTGCACACACAGTAAAATGCACATCAGATTTATTAAAGGAAAATATTCCAGCCATAGGGGAACTATATGATTAATTTCAGGCAAACTTGGACAAAGTTTAGATTTGCCCTTCATAGGAAACTGCAATGGATAAACTGATACCTGAGTAGATAATTCAACAATCCAGGCTTATACATGAATGAATAAACATATCAATCTAGTGCTTGACTCTAAGATTGTTTATGCGAATAAATGTCCAACCAGATCAACAAACAGAACATATAAAATTAGAATAGATGTATGGCCAGCTGGCAAAAAAATTGAAAAATAAAATAATATTTAGATCTGCTGTAATATAAGTATACATAATTTTTTTGCAATAACAAATAGCTCAGCATATATTACTAACTAATTTAAATCTGCTTATTATGCTGTTTTAAAAATAAGGATAAATACAAAGTAACCGTGGTTTGTTATTTCAACCACATTTAATGACTTATTGTGTTGTTACACATATTTCCATGCATTGTTAAAGAAAAGTATAATAAGGTTTTAATAATGTAAAAACAAGGCTTTAAAGAAAAATACAATCAAATACAATCTAAATGCCAATATATTATGAATACAATCATCAGACATAAACCTAATAATGATGCAATGTAAAAAAAATTTTTTTTATTATTATTTTAATTTGTCTTTAACAATATGCAGCATAATTGTTAAATTCAATTTCAATGACAATGGTAAAATAACTATTCCTTTCTTCATCATTGCTTTATAAAATAAGAGATCTAAAGTGTTGCTCTCAGCATCTTAGAACTGTTGTAAAGAACTCACCTGCACACAGAATAAGCAGAAAGGCAAGCAGGAGTTTTGCTATCCACATGTTGACCCTGGCAGATGTGATAGGGATGTTGACTGACTGCAAAGCACCATTCAGTAAAGAGATGTGCTTCTCAGCTGCTCCTCTTAGTACTCTGGCTGTGGCTGAGTTACTCCTCCTCCCTTTTCCCATTGCAATACTAAGAATGGTTTCTTAGCTGTGAGCAGCGGTTAAAGTTCTCAGTTGCTTGTAGGTTACAATGTCAGTTGTTAGAGGGATTTGCATGTAACAGATACATTGGAGATTTGCTTAGTAGCAGCAGCCCCTAAAGGCTGTTCAACTGGTACTGCAGGGCTTTATGTATCCCTGAGGAAGAGGCTCTGAAATCTTATCTGAAATCTGATCATTAGACTTTAGATGGTGAAGTATTTGATCCAGATAAGACTATGCAGTTCTGCCACACCCACTTTGGAAATCAGCAAGCTTTCATAGCACAGAGTCATCAATGACAGCAAGTTTATACTATGGTGCACGAAAGGCAAATGTACTTTCTCTAGTTGTGTCGCTGCACATGGAGTGTGCCTAAGAAATGTAAGCACAAGAAAGTGAAGACTGCAGCCTGGAATTGTATAATAACAGATTTCTGGAGAAGGGGTGTATATTGTTGAACATGAACAGCCATTCATTAACAGACTAGGGTTTTTTTTCCTGCAAAGCATTGCATGAAAATTAAAAATAACTTCACTTTTTAACACTTGATCATTAAAGCAGAATTCCAAGCAAATATAAATCCCACTTCAATTTAGTTATGCATTCAATAAAATATATTCCTTAAATTGAACTCTAGGTAAACAGCTAAATACACAGTTCACATAAAATATGTAAGAGATGACGTACCTATAAAAGGGTTTGCATTTCTCTCCACACATTCCTGAGCTTTAGCAGCCCTGCCAGACAGCAGAGATAGGTTGGTGACCTTTTTATATCTGCTGCAGTTAAAGAAGAACTCCAGGCAATACTTTTATTAACCCTTGCAGAGGGGCTAATTTTTGTCTAGGTGCCAAAAAAAAGGTTACACTCACCGAACTTCTGAGCTGGCTCCCTGCTTATCCGGTCTTTAAAGCCTTCTTCTGCAAAGAAAGAAAATAAAATCTTAACCCTTGCAGTGGGGCTACCACCGCACAGTAAGGGTTAAGTGCTCATTTTGCATAGAGAGCTAAAATACCCATGATCGGATGGCTCTTAGACTGGTGGTCTAAAGTCCTGTATGTCAGCACATCCTATACAGTGTATAGGATGTGAGGCTATCGATGGCCATTCCATCGCCAGAGCAGAGAAGGAGACAGGCTGAAGGGACCAGTTTAGAATATAGACGGGATTGAGGTTCAGGTCAGTATATCGCTGTTATTTTAGCTCCCTAGGCAAAATGAGCGCTTAACACTTCCCCTGCAGGATTGTATTTGCCCAGAGTTCTCCTTTGAATAATACAGCTCATTAACTTTTCTGCCCTCTTCCTGCAGCAGGACAAGAAAAGAACAACAGCAGACTGATGAGGTCATTGCTTTGCTCATCATACGCTCTTCTTCTGTCAGAATGTTGGTTGTAACTCATGTATGCTGCTTCCTGTGCTGGCCAGGAGGATGTGTCCTTCTTCTACTTTTGCAAATGCTGATGTACAGGGAATCACAGTAGACAAGTATCATAATTAATTTCGGAATGTACATGAGCTGCATTTGCATTTTAAAATAAATTGGTTATTATTTCATTTATTTTTATGATGCAGTTCTATGTCTGCCTTGAGTTTAGCATTAAATGTAATTGAGTCAGTACTGTCTATCTAACACCCTCAAGTTGCTAACAGGAGGACAGAATACAATAAACAGAGAGACGATCTTCTTAGTATGGTGATGCTTCTTTAGTATTCAGCAGCCTGGAGTGGATCAGTGTTACCAAGCTGTAATGCTAAAAGCGTAAGTGTACTTTCCACTTAACCACTTGAAGACCGGGGTGTTTCACCCCCTTCCTGGCCAGGCCATTTTTCAGTATTCAGCGCTGCGGTACTTTGACTGACGTTTATTTCGTCATGCAATGCTGTACGAATTTCATACCATTTTTTGGGGACAGATAGAGCTTTCTTTTGGTGGTATTTAATCACCACTGGGGTTTTTATTTTTTACTATATAACAAAAAAGTACACTTAATAGTACCCTATAAAAGAGGGGGTCACGTCGGGTAAATAGACACTAAACATGTCAACCTTTAAAATTGCTCGCGCCCGCGACATCGCAGAAAACGACCGCAACCAAAATTGGCCATAGGTGACACTTTAAATGTTTTTACCGCTCATCAGTTTAGTGTTATCAGTGATTGCTGGCCCTAAAATGATTGCTCTCACTCCGACACATAGGCGCACCCGACGCATGTTTGCATGTGTATGTGGGGGGGGGGGACTTTAAAAAAAATGTGTGTAATTTTTTTAATTATTATTTGTGAATATTTTTTTTAGCTTCTTTATTTTTTTTAATGCTGTAACTTTTTTTTTTTTTACTTTTTTTAGACAACTTTATTGCTATAACATAGGAGACTAAGAAATCCCCTATGTAATAGCCAGTTCACCAAACAGGTCCTCTTTATGGAGACATCAGGGGTCTCCAAGACCTCTGATGTCACCTAGGGACCCCCACAGAAGCTGATGAAGCAGAGATCTGCTTCATCAGCTTCTCTCCGGTGTTCTGCACCGGAGAGTGACACTGAATGCAGGAAGTGATGTAATATACATCACTTCCTGCATTCGGGGACAGGAAGAGAGATCAAAGGGAAATCGAGTAATGATCTCCCTTTGATCTGCTGTTAGAGCGTCGCCGTGCCGGTCCCAGCCGCACCGGCCACATCGGATCACGGACCGGCAGCGGCGACGAGGAGACGGCGGGACATAGGTACGGGGGGGGGGGGGGCCGCACACCCGCAGCTCCTGCAAGCGATCGGGCGTCTCTAGAGACGCCTGATCGCTTGTATGTAAACAGCCATCGCTGGCTGTTTACATGCTCACAGTTTTCCCTCTCGTGTGCACTCTGAGTGCCACACACGAGAGGGGGGAGGGGCAGGACGTCTTAAGACGCCCTCCCGCTCCTAGCAGACTCCTGTCCGGCCGTTCACAAACGGCCATGGACGGAAGGTGGTTAAAATACCCAAAATGCTCCTTTCACTGTCAGTAGATAAACAGAATCCAGATGCAGTAACCCCATTCTCACCACCAGGGGGCTGCTGTATTTACATAATAATAGGAGCCAGACCCCTTGACAGCAGTGCAGATTGTCATCTCCCCAACATACAAAGTCCCACTATTTCCAAAAATCCCACAAAGGGATCATGGTACCTTTTATTATAAATCTTGTGTCTGGCCATCCCCTGTACTTCTAACTGAACTTGGAAATCAATAAACAGTCCACAAATGCAGACTAAGCACTCTACCAGTTCACTGACTCACCTGTTTCCAGGCAAAGATAGTCACGGAGCAAAAGACAGAAAAGAAATAGTCGAAGGGACTATATGACAGGGTGGACATGGGAACAAGAAGAGGAGGGGTCAAGGTCAAGGTTTTTCTTTGAACAAAAGGGGGTCACTTACCTGATTGGCCGAGTCATAGGTGGTACAGGAGGGGCTTCACAGTGGTCTGAGAGGGCGGAGAATTTCCCTGGTCAGTTGGAGCCAGCACACGGCGAGTGAACTTCACACCCACCCGCCCCTTTGTGTTTGGGTTATTGTAGTTTTGGTAATTTTTCTTGCGCAGCTAGGTCTGGGAGGTGGGAGGGTAGTGTTTGATGGTACGGTGGTGTGTGATGACTCGTCTTTGGTGCACAGTCCTCATGGTGCAATACACCCTGAGTCGGTGTATTGTGGCTATGGGGCCTTAGTAACAGGCATGCAGAGATCATTGTTTTCGGGTAACGGGGCCTTCACGGACCTCCAGTCATATGTGTGTGTCCATGGGTATATATATATAATTTGTTATATAGGTGTAGGTGGGGGGCACATGGACATAATTATTTAATATATAGTAACAGAAGGTTTATATAGATTTGTTATGTTTGACATAATTGTAATAAAGGGCTGCTACAGCCAATTTATATCCAAATACTGTGTGGTCTATTATTTAATAATAATTTGGTATATAGGTGTAGGTGGGGGCACATGGATACACACATAATTTGTTAATATATAGTAACAGAAGGTTTATATGGATTTGTTATGTTTTACATAATTGTAATAAAGGGCTGCTACAGCCAATTTATATCCAAATACTGTGTGGTCTATTATTTTAATAAGGAAGTTTAAAGAGGGTGGTGGCGTAGCAGGGTTGGTTAAGAATGAGAACCTAGGTCTTACACTAGTCATGTCTATCTCCACTCTGATCTCTTCTGCTGTTTTAGCTGTGAAGCTGACATGCATACAAAATGCATAGAGGATAACTAGCCATGTCTAAGTTGGTACTCAGGGCACTTATTATTCTCTGTTTACATGCTATGTGCATATAGCTTCACTTCACAGGCAGATGGAGCCAAACAAGTGGTCAGAAAGGATACATGCATGCTCAAACACACAGGGGTCTATTCACGACGCTGCCGAAGGATCTGGCCGTAGCTTCGGGCGATCCTTTGGCTGGCTTCGCCCCAGGACCCCTTCGGTTCAGGAGAACCGAAGGGGTGCTGTACGGGCTATTCACAATAGCCCGTACAGCTCCCGATCATGGCTGCTTCTGACAGCTGGGCGGAGCCGGCTGGCTCCGGCCACTTGCAGTGAGATCAGTGTTAGCAGTTAACCAGGGACACTGATCTCCAAACAGCAAACTCTCCCTGGCGCCCCGGGAGTCTCCAGCTCCCGGCCGCCAAGGAGAGAAACAGTGCTGTGTCTTTTTTTCTTTATTCTGACACAAGCATGTCAGAATAGAAAAAAAAAAAGATTTTTCCCATTGAAAAGCATTGGGACATTACTATTGGCTATTTCAATTTGCAATAGCCAATAGTAATGCATTTTATGTCCAGTAACACTTTAATTTATTATCCATGTGTTGCATATATTACAATCATTATAATATACT